CCGAACATCGCCTAAACTATACGATTATCCGAGATCTTTCGTTAAAGTCGTAAAAACGTATTTTTAATAAAAACGTCGAGTAAATCGTAAAAAACGTGCTTTTAATAAAAATGTCGAGTAAATCGTAAAAGACGGAAACGATTAACCAAGAAACAAACGTAGCTAAACATTACGATTAACTCGAGGAATTTACTAAAAACGGCATCGAATCAGGAAACGATTCCGTACAAGGTCGAGAAACGGATTTATCGCAAAACGGCCCGGAAGGTCCTAAAACGCGATAAAAACCCATCTCGCGATCTCAACAGAATCTAACCCAAAGATACGATGACGTTTTGGCGGTTTACTCGCAGAAGGGAAATAAATGTCAAGCTCGAAGATAAAAGGCAAGTTTGAAGACAAATAGAAGATTTCCGCGGAAGAAAAGGAAGGATCGAGAAAAATGGAAGATTCCCAATACACTCAAATCCGGGCAAAATGGAAAGATCGAATCGCCAAGGCAGGGAGTATATAAGCAAGAAGTATAGGGCAGAAGCAGACACGATTTCAGAGCTCTCAACACCAAAAATTAGCATTTAGGAATATTTTCGTTTTCTGTTAGCGAGCTGCGTCTCAACTAGGGTTTTCGTTCTTAGACTTCTAGGGATTTCGCCGACGGCTCACGCAGCTAAGGCTACTCTCGTTGTAACAGTTCTTACGCAGATTCGGAATAAGAACCTCTTTGCTCTCAATTTCGTTTATTCTCTTTTAATTTCTAAGTTCGTCGTTTTCTTAATCTTCGTTGTGCGGTTCTGCAGATAGCTGTTTCCTCTGGAAACTTAGGGTTTTCTCGAAGTTTCCTTATTTACGATTTATTGAAAGTAGGTGGATTTCGGTTCCCACAGTGAACCCCACATGTCTGAATGTACATTGACTAGGATTCCTTTTGTAACATGCTTTGCGACTGAGAAGCTTTGTTTATGGGACTTCTCCAGCACACAGTCTTCGCAAAACTTCAACTCATCAACCTCCTTCTCAGGCACATACCCCTCCTTGGCTAAAACCTTCATACTCTTCAGATTCATGTGTCCAAGTCTTGAGTGCCACAGACTTGTCCGATCACACGCTTCGTTGGACAAGTTTGCCTCGCCCTTCAACACTGACCCTTGCAGATAATACATCCCTTGATGATATTTTCCAGAGATCACCTTTTTATCATCCTTGTAGAATTGAACCATTAAATCTTTCCCTTCATACCTGCAGCCTGCAGTCTCCAGCATTCCATATGAGATTAGGTTCCGGTGCATTCCTGGCATGTATCTTACACCCGTGCGAACCACAACTGAACCATCTGAATTCTTTATCTTTATCTTCCCAATTCCCTGGATATTGCTGTGAGTATTGTTAGCCATCAGTACCTTGCCTCCTTTGAATTCTTCCAGATCGAATAGAAACTCCTTGTCTGGAGTTATGTGAAAAGAGCAACCAGAATCCATGACCCACTCTTCCTGCGTGTCGTGAGTGCTCACGGTCAACACCAGAGGTTGCTTAGGTTCCTCTGCAATGTTGGCTGAGTTCTCTAGTTTGCCCTACTTTCATTCAGGGCAATCTGTTTTCCAGTGCCCCTCCTTTCCACAAATAAAGCAGCCCTTGTTACCCTTAGGTCGAGACTTTGACCTACCAAATCTGCTCTTCGATCTTCCCTTTCCATTGCTTCCACTACCACGGTTTGACCTATTTTATGATTTGCCTCTGTCAACATACAATCCTTCCCCTGCGGACTTAGAACCCTTTCCGCTTTCAGTCAGCTCTCTTTCCTTTGACCTTGCAGCTCCAGTAACCTCGTTGAGACTCAGAGTGTCTCTATCATACTTTAGAGTCTCTTTCAACTGATCATACCAGTGCGATAGTGAAATCAATAAAAAGATGGCTTGTACCTCCTCAGACACTTCTACTAGTAGATTGTTGAGGTCTGCCACCAGTTTCAGAAAGTCATCGACGTTCTCATCGATACTCTTAGAATCAGACATCTTGAATGTATAGAACCTTAGCTGAAGGTAGATTCTATTCGGCAAAGATGTCTCCATGTACAACTTGTTCAACGTTGACCACATTGATGCAGTTGTTTCGCAGTGTGTGATCTTATGCAGAACTTTATCACCCACCTTCAACACAATCAAATCCTTTGCCTTCTCAGATTTCTCGAACTTGACTGGATCTATACCCGGAACTGTCTCTGCAACTCCTGCTAGTCCCTTCTGCGGATCTTTCATAGCTGCCTCAAGCTCTTCCTTTGCAGTAGGTGGATCCTTAAGCCACTTATCATCATCCAGAATTCTCTTCAAACCCAGTACCCCGAAGTGTGCCATCATCCTGACCTTCCACAGCGAGAAATCCCCAGTACCCTCAAACTGTCTACTTCAATTCGTGAGTTGGACAAGCTGACCATCCTCTTAGCTTAGATTAATCACACGCCTTGAACCTGAGAGCTCTGATACCACTTTGTTACGTTTTCAGTTTCGTATGATTCTCAACCTAAGCGATCAACTTGTCACTTGAACAACTAAGTAAATGACACAAGCAACTTTAACGAGTTCCCGGCCTCTTGCGCGGTATGTCTCGTGGGAGAACTTTGCTCCCAAACTCCACTAAATCAATAAAGAGTACAAGAACCAATCACTTATAGAACCGTGATGGTTTAGATAACACCAAGAAGACACAAGTAGTCTCAAGGTAAGCTAGAACAATATGATCTCAACAATGTTCTCTATGCTTAGACTAATGTCTCTGTCTTTCTTGTGTAGCTTAACTCTCTCTCTGCGTGATCTCTTGTGGCTGATGAAGAAGACGGCTTTCTTTTGATTTGACCTAATCGCACATATTAAATTAGCCTTTAACCTAATGGGCTTTGTCGACTAAGCCCATAGGTTGTCCGCGCATAACTTGTGCAGGTCAGCCCAACATTGAACGGGTCCATTGGGTTCTCGATCTTTCGATCCACTCTTGTTTCTCAGATGAACTCACAGTGCAAACCAAATGCGCTGGTTAGCTATTTTTCATTTTAGAGTGGGCCATCACCATACACAACACCTTGTAGTGTTCTTCGACTGGATCGTACACATGACGTGCGTACATGTTTCTTCCGATGGTGTAACCTCAGGCGATTTCACAGTTTGTGTACATATTAAATTAGCCTTCAAAACATCTGATATAGCACATATGATATAGCACACTACACAAGATCAATTTCAAAGGCCTTTTCACATGTGATAACATGGAGCTTTAAGAGAAGAGCGAGAAAATACAAGTCACAGAAAAGTTACAAGGCAAAGAAGATTACAACAAAGTTATTATCATTCCTGAAAAATGAACCTAAGAACTATGAAGCAGAGCATATGAATCCACAATCAAGTGAAGCCTTAACAAACTGAGCCCAAAACCCTGTTAATATAACGAGACAGAGCATATTAAAACATCAATGAAGACATGACTAAGTTATTGTCTTTCCTGAAACCCATTAGCAAGCTTGAAAATCAAAAAAATCACAAGAGAAAAATGAGCCCAAATTTTACCAAAAAAGAGCAGATTTTATCCACAATCAAGCAAAGTCGCAACAAACTAAACCATCAACAAAGACACCAAGAAGAAGATGGAGAAAGATTAGAACTTTACTGAAATTCATGAGCGAGCTTGGAAATGAAACACTACTACAATAAATTGAGCCTAAAAGCCCCTACCAAAACCATGAAACAGAGCAGGCATAATCAAGTGAAGTCGCAGTAAACTAAACTACAAGTGAAGTCCCAGTAAACTAAACTACCAACAAGGACAAGAAAGTGCAAACCTTTGAAGAGTTTTACGGCAAGGGACGAGGAAGGAAGAACGAGAAACCCAGGGAGGTGAAGGAGATAAGTGGCGAAGGAGAGGGTTGTTGTGGGAGGTGAAGGAAGGCCCCATGGCCATAAGCGAAGTTAATCTACCCAGCTAGAAGAGAGTGACTCCTCGACGTGGTCGTCGACGATTTGTCTCTAACGATGAGAACCAGGACGTGGTCGTCGACGATTTGTCTCTAACGATGAGAACCAGGACGTGGTCGTCGACGATGACGAACCAGCCGCTGGAGAACACGATGATCCCGATGTCGACGCCGTAGCAGCGGCCCCGTAGGAAGACAAAACCAAGTTTGATTTGGTTTCACGCGTAATTGAAGCTCCCCCATCTCATGTCTTGACACGTGCACCTAAGCGTCGTTGCTTCACGGCTTAATTAAGAGCATGTTTATCCAAGGATGCTTAGAGAAGTGCTTAGGAGGAGGGAGGTGCTTAATATGAAGAGAGAGAGTGTGAAAAGTGCTTAAGCAAGCACTTTTCACACTCTCTCTCTTTATATTAAGCACCTTCCTCCTCCTAAGCACTTCTCTAAGCACCCTTGGATAAACATGCTCTTAAGCGCCGTGTCTTCTCTTTTTTTTTTTTTTTTTTTCAAATTAACATTACCCTAAGCAATGCACTAAGCACCTGCGATAAGGGTGCTCTTAACCATCAGAGTTCTAACTAAATTTTTACATAGATTAAACAAGTACATGTTTACACATAATTTTATTTAAATTATTCTGGTTTGGTTCTTTGTTTTACTAATGTTTCACATAGATTAAACTAGTATATGTTTACACATAATTTTATATATATTATTTTGGTTTCTTTGTTTTACTAGAGTTTTAGGATTGAAGTTGTATTTATCAATCATCATGTTTAGTTCATATTGTAACAGAAAAGGATAGGGATATACAATTTCGGAGAAATTCATTAATTTAGAATAAAAGGGGTAAACATTAGTTTTTTTTTTTTTTGTAAGTGAAACAAAAGCAATCTTATACAAACTTCATCCCATAATATCTAGAACCCCTATATTGTATAATAATATATCAAAAAGAGCCCTGATTCCCAGAGATGAGGTCGTATCGTTACCTCTTACATAATCACATACTGTTTTATTCGTTACTATTTGTTTTGTTTGTTTTCTTACAATCCAAGCTGGACAGGCACGTTGGCTTCTTGAATCCAGTTAACTGGAGTCAACCAGTTAGCGACGGTGAAACCTTCAACGTCAGCCGCAGATTTAGCGATCTTAGACCAAGGAACCCTAGCAGCAGTGTTAGCTCCTGGACCACGGTTATTGAACTCAATGTACTTGGCTGTTTTGTGGTTAGATTCCCCTTTCCATTCGGACCATCCTTCTGGTTTAATCACATCACCAATCTCAGTTCCAATAATTACGGTGGTGGAGAACTTCTTCCACGGACGTCCCAAGTACGATTTGGTGGTTAGCTTTTCAGCTTCAAGGTCTTTGTCCGCCATGATACGGCAGTTCTGAAGAACGATACCGACCTTGACCACGTTACCTTTCTCGTTACCGTCGGCTGTAACGTAATGGGCTTGTCCCTGGCTACCCTTTCGGATGAGGATTAGAGAGTTTTGGATCACGGTGGCGCCTTTTCCGAAGATGAAATCGACTGTACCGGATACAACAATGTTCCTGTAGAACTGACGTCCGTTGTTGGCGTAGAGTGTGTCTTGGAAAGCGTCAAATCTGCAGTTGAATATGACCGCACGGTCTCCGTTACAACGGAATGCGACCGCTTGGTGTCCCAATGGACCAGCAGTGTTCTGGAATCCGATCCATTTCGCCATGAATCCCTCAGATTCAACCTCTGCATGCATGCAATTACGTATATTTAGATATCTCAACGTTATCAATAAAATAATAGAGGTTAACTAGTTATAAATGAGAGACTTACGAACGGTGGCACTGAGTGAAGTAGTGGTTTTGCTGAATGCAACACTTTTGTCAAAAGTAATGATGGTTTTTGTAGCACCATCACCAAACATGAAAATGTTGTTCTTCTTCTTAGGGATTCTGACCATTTCCTTGTAGACTCCAGCCTTGATATGGATAATGCAACGTCCAGGGTTTTTCTCCGGGCAAGCGTTGACTGCTTCAGAAATCGTCTTAAAGTTTCCACTTCCGTCCTTAGCCACCACATGAGTCGCCTTGATCTTACCGCCATCACCGGCGCCTTCACCGATACCATCACCACCACGTCCCACCTGAGCCATAAGCTTCCTGTCTTTGCCAGAAAGCCATGTAGGTAGTCCCTTTGCGTCGATGTCTTCAAGAAGGCGACGCCCAGCAGCTCCAACTCCTCCCACATCTTCGGGCTTGACACCCATTTGGGACATGGCGGTGACAACAGAATGGAAGATATCGAGAGCGTTACTGGTCAAAACTTTGGAGTTAGAGATTCCTTCCCCCATTATTTTCCTCAACTCCCCTTCTTCAATGTCGTCAATACAATCGGTTTGGTAATTGTACACTCCGGTTAACCATTGTTTAAGTTGGTCAACCTTACTTCCGCTTTGCTGAAGGTCTTCACCCATTTCTTCAACAATGGTTTCAAGATCCTCAAGAGCGTATGTCAACACTCTCTTGCAGTACTCAAGAACGGCTTTGGTAGTCTCGTTCATGTTTTTCCCTAGGCCTTCTTCGGTTGAAGCCGTGAAGTTTGAGGATTTTGTAATCGCGTCTTTTGTAGCCAACATGAAGGCTTTGATAAGCTTGCTTGGATCATCGCTTTTGACTGGTTCAAGAGTTTTTGCGCATGAGCCTTGGTCTGTGGCTGTCTGACATATTGTCTGAACTGCTTTCTGATGCGAGTTCAGAGTCTTGTCTCCTCCTGCATCACCACCTTTATTAACAAAGGTGACAACTCCTATGGCAACACCCACCACTAAAAGGATGGACGCCACAGATACCACAATTTTTCCAACTGCCATTTTTTTTTGTTTTAATATATTTTTCCCCTTTTATTTATTTTTTGTATTTTTTTCTCTCCCTCCGGGTTTATTCAGGAGGTAGATAGGAGAGGAAAGGGGATTTTTTTATTGAAACAGAGCCCGGTGGATTGTTTTAACGGTGCATTGTGGGGTGATTCTTATACAAGTTGTAGTTTCTAAAATTAGGGCTTGCATTAGCTTTGCATGGATGGAGAAAGGTCACTGAATGGCTACAAATTCTCTAGTCCAATTTTAGTTTTGAGACTAAAAATTAGCCACCACAAGATGATTTGATTCTGTCCTGATCAAGAGCTGTAATTTCGATTACTAGGAATAAAAAATGTATTTTAAGGATGAAAACTTCAGTTTACTATAATCTATTAATTCTGGGATTTAAGAGAACAAAACATTTTCCTGAAAGCATCATCTAGAGCTTGATATCATCCTTTAGGAAGTTTTAAATTAGTTGCACATTTTTAATTTTAGATTAAGAAGTTCATGTGCATTTTATGAGTGAGATTGCTCTAAATACTTTTATAAGGATAATGGGGGTTATTGGTTGAGTTTTCTCTTTTTACTTTAACTTTATTTATTTTTAAATCACTAAATTTTTAAGGATCACGCTTTAGTTTTAATTTTTAACTATAGCATCAAAAAGTAAACAATTTTTTCTTATGTATTTTACCTAAAAAATCTAAAACTTTCTTTAATAGGCTGTACAATCTGTAAAATAAAAAAAAATATTTATAATATCACATAAATTAGATGATCATAATTAAAAACATCTATAAATATTTAATTTAATTTTGGGTGTTTTAAAACTATTGAAATATTTTATCACATTTTAAATAACAGTAAACTTTGATAATTTATAAAAAAATAATATTAATATAAACTATTTAATTTGTAAGAACAATTATTTTGTACATACATCACATATTTATTTTTAAATATCTACATCTTATAATTTACAAATACAACAAATATAACTACAACAAAAGTTTCTTCAAAAAAATCTACAGTAACAGTTTTATATCTACAACCAATTTACCTATAATTAGACTTTTACAACTAATTTTAGAGTCATAGTCAAACCAATCATCACCAATATTTCAGGGTTTTGACGTTATATTGTTAAAAACGAAATAGATGTCTATTGAAGTTGTAAAACTAGCTAAAAGCCAAAACCAACTTTTTAAAAGGACACTCGGATTACTTTTATGTGCTTGCTCTCTCTCTCTCTCTCTCTCTCTCTCTCTCTCTCTCTCTCTCTCTCTCTCTCTCTCTCTCTCTCTCTCTCTCT